ACAAAAAGGTTTTTTTGATCATGAGAAGCCCGAAACCAATATCATCAACCCTAATCGGTTATAGGAGCGCTTTCATCCAACACGGGCACGGAAACCCATGCAGTGCCTTGCCAATGGATGTTCACGGTTGAGTTATCCGGTTAGCCGGTCATAGTTGTAACTGGTTAACCGCTAGGTCCGGTTGCCGGTTACCTGGGCCCCTAACTGGTTCCGTGCTCGTCCCCAGTCCTGTCTCCGTAGTGCATATTCAGATCGTGGATAATAAGGATTTGTTTTTAACTGCAAGAGACGCGAATCATGGATGTTGTTGCAATTTTGGCCTGAAAGAGGAAGCCTCCTTTTGGGTGTCACGCTCCCGTGTCGATGAGATTCAATGCAATCCGCTGAGCTTCTCTCGGACTTCTCTCTGTCTCCGATGTAATTGTTTCGAAAGCTTCATCAATTCAACATGTGGGTGCAAAGGTGTGTGTGGGAGCATGCTTCCACACATAGAGCTGTCAAGCTTTGATCGATCTGTTAGTGATTCTCATCTCTGTTGATGTTGTTGGCTGGTGTGTGTGACCAGGGGAGGGTGTAACTTCGGCTTTTTCCACTTGGCGCGCCACTTGGCTGCATGTGTGTAACAAGCAGACAAGCGAATGGGTCCCATGGGAAAGGTATGCAGAAATGCCAGAAGAGCCCGACTTTGCGAGAGAGCCCGACTTTGCAAGAGATGGGCTGGCTGTTTCATCTGGAGTGCTTGAGTGAACTTTGCTGTTAGTGTGGGCTTTGAGCTTGTGGAGCCTTTGACGTTGATAGCCAACCTCAATTATTTGTGCCCGCGTCCATGTGTTGGAGGATTTGTATTCCAGAAGAAGTGGGGAGAGGGGAAAAATAACAAATTAAATAAGAAAGGGGAGGTGGTCTTTCTCCTCTCTCAAAAACCCTACCTGGAAACAGATTAAAAGAGGAGCAATGTGTTTACTTTATGCTGTAGCCGTGGACTCCGTGGGTCACGGATTAAAGGTAAAGATGAAAGCAAACAAATCAAAGGGGGTAAAGGTTAGTGGGACACTCAATCTAAAGCTTACACGGTTTTTCGTAGTTGCACTTTGCTTTGTAGAAAGATGGAAAGATTTTACGGTGGCTGCAATTTGAGCGTTTGACGTTCAACAAGCGAGGATAAGAGGAGAGGGGTTTGAATTTTTATTAAAAAAAAAAATTTAAAGTGGGAAGAGAATATGTTTGGAGTAGCCCAGACAGCATGATATGCATGGTACACCATAATTTTGCAAGATGGTTCTTGCTAGTAGTACATATTAGAAACCTTGTTATGGACTGCATGCTGAGAGAGACACCTGCTCATGGATATGGTTAGAGGTGAAGTGATTCTCAATCAATCTGCAGCTCATCCAGGATCTAACTGACTATAGAGAAAGTCACGGAGATGCAACACAGGTGAAAATGCTGTGTCTATAAGATTTGGGTGATCACTCTACTCTGCAGGCATGATTGGAAAGAGCAGCTGAGAGCTCTGCAACTGTGGACAGAGCAGACTTGGCCCCCGAACTTCTCTGACAAAACTCCACTAAAACAATGGTGGACTAGTTTCTTAAGCAGCAAAACATCTGAGGCAAAGCAGCAAAACGTATATCGAAATGGGTTCGAACTGCTCTCCTGCAGGTTCAAACGTAATCTGACTGTAATTTCTGAGTCTATCCCAGAGTATTACTCTTTTTCCAAGTACAAACTACTGGTCGGGATTGTGAAACCTTTAGCAGGTGCCCGAGTATACTCAGAAGCGGGTGATGAAGACTTCATAATGTACAAGTGATACAATTCAATCAGAATTATACAGTGTATAACGTACAGGTCGACCATTTGTTGAGACATAAGTATTATAAAACGTCATGGAGTAATTTAGAGTATCATGATTTCATCATCAGAGGTTGAAGGTTGGTCATGTGTAGCTGATGAAGAGCATACACAGAAGGAGAAGTAAGAATAAACAGTTACAATTACACTTAGGGTATTGTTAATTGTTTATGTCACTACAAATTTTGCTACTGTCACTGTAATTTGCCACTATAATTTGATGGTCCCTCATAATCTGAAACGCTCTTCTTGTATGTTCCTCATACGCTCCTCTTGTATGTTCTCATACGCTTCTCTTGCATGCAACGTGTTCACCGTTCTCTTCACAACTTTTGCTTTTTGAATGATGTTTATTTCTTTCATGGAGCTCGACATTGTTAGCACCTTTACAAGCCATGATGTAAGTTACATAATTGTGATAAAGCTTTCTAACACCTCCTGCAATCACTATGAGCTAAACTGTGATTGTGACAAATATTACAAAATGGCAGGTTAGGGTGGCAGTAGCACAATAAACTGTGGTGACATTAGCAATACCCTAAACGTATCTGCAATCATGTAGCACATAAATGGACACTTAGGTTGGCGTTGATAAATGGATTATTATGATGATTCATGGTATTATGTCTGCTATCAGTTGAGCCACAATCACCCTTTCAGTATGGGTAGTAATCCTCCACAAAGGTTATTACAACACAAAAAACACAAAGACCTATGATCCTGTCTCATCATCGGAGGAGTGCTTCAACACCAAGACAGTTTGGACAACAGGCAATCAGTGTATGTGCCATCAGGGTATCATCCTCTACAAGGTGCTTCAGTATGAGGGAATTAAACGTACTACAGATATAAACTCACGTGAAAATATTGCATGAAAAAAAGGATCATGGTTAAATGGTAACACATGCAACAAGCCACACGGTTTACTGAACGATGAAACTAACATGGGGTCTTGCCTACTCTGCTGGTACGTGAGGCTAACATCAAGGGTGATGGTCTGACAATAGCTACCACCACAATGCAACATCTCTCGGTGCAGAGCCAAAATCAGGCTTCTGTTGTTCCAAGTTGCAGTAGCAAGAGTAACTAGGTGCGGGAGGCTGCTCACTAGAGTAAGTGCAGGTAGGCAACCCCACAAACAAGCATGCGTAACTTCCAAGGAGTTGTGCGATAAAACCATCACAAGAGGCGATCGGCACCCCGCGAGTTGACGATCATAGTGATACCAACTTGGAACTAACGAAGGGAGCTTATAAAAAGTTCGAGGCAATGAGAATAGGTCATTTCCAGACTGATTTCTCAACACGACAAAGAAAAAGCAGAAATCATAACCACAAGTGCAGTTCCCTAACCCAGATGCATATAGGAAGATACTGTACATTCATGACGTACGCATGCTATCGTAATCAACAATTCTGTTAGATTGTTAATAAGATTTTTTTTTTTTAAAAAGCACGTTCAATGTACTAAACACACAATTTTCTGAAAATCCATATACCACTTTATTGTATCTCCGTCAAGACGTTACACATCAAGTTCAGATGCTAGGTAAGGCAGTTTTCCGAGTATTAAATGCAAAATTAGAGGATTTAATATTTTTAAATAAAGACAAAAAAGACAAAAAAGAAAAAGAAAAAGAGCTCGAGACGAAAATGAAAACTTGTGGAAACTTGCTAACTACCGATATCCAAAGCAATTTTTTAAAAAAAAAAACATGAGTAACAAACAGCTTGTTTAACAAAGGGCTCAAGATAATACATAATCATACTTAGGGTCCATTTAAGTTCGGCGTCCTCGCTAACTACTCCAATCAAGTCATTAGGACCTCCATTGCTCCAATCCTTCCACAAGTGTTGCCTCTGCACCGCTCATGGTCCTCCACCCGAATATGAACCTTTCTCCATTCGTTGTTGCTTGCGTATATCCCAAGCAGATACAAACAGATTTTATAACCTCAAATTTTAAACCTGATAAATACCTTAAGAGCATAATTTACGAACCTTGGATTCAAATCAAGTACATAGGAACATACGTCAAAAGCTCAAGTTTTCTAAGGAGCTGCTGCCCTCTGTCACTATTATAATTATCATGCTCATGACCAGCATCAAGCAAAAGCTTTCGTCAGAGTAGACTTATAATGAAATAATCTGCAATTACATGACACAGAACATCGCAACTTGTCGTAATTTGTTTTGATTCCGATCTAAAACGACCAGTGACCATACTTGCTGCATCAACTTACAGCAACGTACATTGCCGAGATGTAAAGCACAGCAAGGCCGATCTAGCGGTTTCACTAAGGACCTTCACATCCAGCACGAAAGCAAAAGCACATTCAAGGTGCTGCCACTACTACAGATTTCAGTATATTTCTGTCTTTCAGTATATTGCCTCTCATACTGGCAACTCACATTATGTGAAATGCACCAGAAAAATCAGACGCAGCAAAGTAGGGAATCTCAATCTGAAAGATGTATCCAAAAGTAGTTAAATTGTGCTGGTAAACTCAACATTGTTGGGACCATGGTAACTTGGTAGGAATCTGCAGTAACTAGTGGAAGTCTCACATAACACCATTTCAGCCTAAACCACAACCAAGGCACCGCTAGTGGACCGAGAATCTCTAATGAGCTCACAGGTACAGGCAGTGTACTCGAACATTGAGCAAAACGAGAAACTGAAGTTCTCTAATGGAACAAATAGCATGACTCAGATCACAGTGTTAATTCAAGCTTAACCACACTCAAAATAACGTAAAATCAATCCAATAAAGAACCATGTACGTCCATGATCTAATCTAAATAAACATTATCAAACTGTACTTAAAAGGAAAAAACGAGAAAAGAAAGGAAAAACCATATTATGTTCATACAAAGTATCTACGGTACATGTACATGATCCACAAAGAAGGAAAAATGATACTAACTCAACGACCTCGTAAAATCCTACATAACTCAAGGGCACGGTCGCAATTATCACTGCTCCTCCTAGCATCCCTACCAAGTCCGAAGTGTGGAGCAAAGCTTAAGGAAAATCCAAATACTCCTTCATAGAACCTAAGCTGGAGGAGACACAATTGATGCCACCAAGATACCAATAGCGAAGCAAACACCAGCACGAATCCGATAACAATTAACACACTCGGCTCCTGGCACAAACCACTCTCCTTCACCATATGAAAATCACTGATACAAGCAGACGAGAAACGCCCCCTCGAAAACCCAATAACTAAACACCTAGCAGCCAACAAAAACCCATTCTATCCCCAACAACAAGAGGTAGTCTGTATATTCCAGGCTGAAAAATAAATCAACTGCAACCAAGTGCAAGGAACTCGAGGTCCCACAATTTCCAGCAAAAAGTTCGACACAAACCCACCAGAACGTCCACATCTCACCAGCACGGCATTCAAAGAATCTACGCAATGCTGGCTAATCAGAGGGACATAGCTGTTCCGAGCAGTACATTCATGCTGGTAACCTACGGGCGCACGGAAATCTTGCTGCTGTATAAATCTTGGGGTCTCTGGAATGTCCACAGCACCCGCACTTTTCTATCTTCATTCACAACCGCACCAACCATGACGCAGCAATCCCGCTATCGTAAAACACGCGCCAGCATCACGCCTGCCTTCTGTAGACTTCTCTAGTCTCTGCATTTTGCATGGTTTGCATAATCAATGTCTAGTCCAGCAACCCACTCCATGTCGCCGCTCCTCACGGTCCCTGCCTCAGGCTACCGTTCGCTGCTCTGCACGCCACCAACCCACCTCTCAGCACGTTCCTTCAACCCAATCACAACCCTCCCCATCTGCCACCCAACACCACAAAACCCCCACCCGCCTTCCGCCACCATACCTTCCAGAAAGAGAAAGCCGCTGTGAACTATTTACAGGTTCCTTCATCATGCTCAGCCGCCTCATTCTCCGTTCCTGATCCTTGTCCACCCTCATCGATGCCACCTCTTTCTCCATCACTGTCACTTCTCGCCGCATCTTCTTCGCCTCCACCTCCATCGCTTTCCCCAGCGTGTCCACCTTCTTCGACAGCATCTGCATCCCACAAATGCCACCGTCAGCACCGCATCCATCCACGCCCACCTCCACTCTCCCCTCCTGCTCTGCCCCTGTTCCCCGCCATTCCCAAACTACCGCACCTCTATCGCATTGTCCTTGTCCTTCAGGCTTTGGTCCTTCTCCTGCGAAGCTCTTCTCAGCGATATCACTTCCTTCTGCAACATATCGTACAGCACCCCCGACACCGTGTCGCCCGCTCCTTCTCCCGCATCCCCTGCTGCACCGCTGCGTCCCACTCCTCCTGCACCACCGCATTCCGCTGCCGCCTTGCCTTCCCCTCCCTCCTCCTTCGCGCCCTCGCTACCCTCCTCGCCCTGCGCGCTCGCGCCTTCGGGACTTGCACCCGCTTCGCCGCTGCAGCTCCTGCTCTCCGTCTTTATCCCTGCCCGCAGCTCCTCAAACCCGTTCGTGAATGGCTTCAGCGCCGCCATACCCCCCGCGTCGTACGAGCCCCCGCTGCTACTCCGACCCCCGCCACCACCATCGAAAGACTTCGACGTCAACCGCCCGTTCTTCACCAACGGCCCACCCATCGCCCTCAGCTGGCTTACCGCAGACCGCCGAGCTCGGGAACCGTTCGCAAGCACTTTTGCTCCTTCTTCGCTCCCGCTCCCCTTCCGCACGCTTCCGTTGCTCGTCACGCTCGAGCTTCGCTTTGCTTCCACCGTCCCACCCGCACCCGCACCACGCCGCACCGTCCCGTTCCCGGACTTCAACCCCTCCTCCAGCACCTTCAGCCGGAGCTGCACCTTCTCCTGCACCTCACCCCCAACACCCGCCGTTACCATCCCATTCTCCACCCTCACCCTCACCATCCTCACCTCTCCAACTGCAACTGCTACCACACACCCACATCATCCGCACCTTCAGCTGCGCTTCGCTCTTGCACGTTCTCTCCGCCGACGCCAGCTTCTCGCGCAGTTGCTGCATCTCACCCTGTCCCCACACATACACCCACTCCGTCACCTTCCCACACACCACCACTTCTCCACGCACATTTCTATGTCAACAACACCTCATTCACTTCCCACCCCCTACCACCCATCCACC